CACTGCACTCCAGTCTGGGCGCCAGAGTGAGACTCCGACTCAAAAAAAAAAAAAAAAAAAGATGCAAAAGAGTTAATCCAACAGAAACACATGCCTAAACACCTTGTCTCAATTATATATCACTAAGAAAGCTATTACCTCTTGACTCATCCTAGCATACCTTTCCTTTGGGAATGGAAACACAGGGAAATCATTGGCTTTGTAGCTAAAAGCATAGGTCACTTGATTTTTTTAGTTAAAATTTTACTTTAAGTATATTTTAAAACTTGGATCCTCGTGGACAATGTAAGATAACAAAATAAAAAAGTATTCTACTCTATGTAATTATTGTACAATACCTTCTTATTTGAATGAAGCATCTTTTAAAACTATTTAAGATTCGGGAAGTTTACAAGTATATGTCTAAGTCTCTCTTGCTTCTGATTCTGAAGAGGGCTTTTTTCAGTCTATATTATTTTTCCAATTCCAGGAACTTTTCTTCTCTCATATCCTTAACTTGTAGTTTCTCATCTGATTATTGGTTGTGCTTACTCAGAAATCCTTTTGAATTTGCACACCCTATTTTCCAAGTAAATTAAGCCTCTTGATTTATTGTAATAGGACAATTTAGTGCTCTTTCAGTTTATCTGTTGATTCACCATTTTGTAAGTCAGTTGTGCCTTTTTTCTGCTTCCATTCATGCAGTGTGAAACCCATCAACAACTTTGTCAGGGATTTGACATCCAGTCCCAACACTGCACTTACTAGCTGAATGAGAAAGGTATGTCAGCTGATCCCTTTGGGCACCAGTGTCCTCTGTCAAAGGGTGCTGAGAGAACTGCTGTAAAAAGAAGTGAGCAATTCTATATCAAAATGCTCTGTTAATAATAGGACATTCTACAAATTAATTATTATTCTATGATGTTTACCATCTTATTGAACTTTTAAATTCTGTGACTTTTATATTTTAAATCCTAGATTTCTTCTCTTCCTTGAATTATATTTGTAGTCCTTAATGTGTTCCAGATTCTAACATTCCTATTTCTTCTTTCTGGGCTCCTTTTTTTCTCTAATTACACTAAAATTCTGTTTCTGTTGTTGACCCCATTTTTGTTAATTTTATGTTATTTTTGTGTTGGTATTTCCCTTATCTCAGGTGCTTTCATTGGCATTTCAGTGGCATTAATATGAAAAAAATCTTGCACTATAAGCTACAAAGTACTATAGAGAAATATTTTCATTATTTTTTTTCCTTTTGGCAGAAGATTGTTCTTGCATTATACTGATTGACTAAACTGAATGTGAAGAAGGTGCTGTGAAGTTAGAGGGATGCCAGGTCTGGATGCGAAGGGACAAGAACACATCAAGCACTCGAAAGAAAAGGTGGGTTGGATTTTGTGGAAGCCAAAATTATTTACCTGATAGGTCTTAGCTACATAATTATAGCTTTACGAACTAGAGACTTTGAGGCATTAAATCACTGTGTGTGAAATGCCCTGCTCAAAAATATAAAGAAAATACGGTGAGGCAATGTTTATATCCTGGTGACTGCAAAAATAATACAGTGAAGAGAGAGATGGGACAAAGGTCTTTTAAGATTAAATTACTCATACTCTGTGACTTTAGTTACAAAATTCCCTTCCGTGTTTATTAACGTTGTGGTAAAAACCAATTAATCAATTAAGCTTATAAAGTATATTTACGATAAAGAATGTTTACTAACAAAACTGTATTTGTTTTAATAAAGTATTTAATAGAAATCAAATTTAATCATATTAGCTATACAGGATCTCCCCATCACCATGTAAATGAATTCACAAACCTTGTGTTCAATTAATACATCACCACACATACTATGTGGGATTTGACTGTCTCTCTACTACAGAAACAGAAAAAGAAAAAGAAAAAAATATATATATATAGTTTGATCCAAGCAGAGTGAGTGTCCTCATACTTCCATAAGTGAGAGAAAGGATTGAAAATTTAAAAAGGAATAAGAAGGAGAAAAATGCGAAGAGAAGCAACAAGAGAAGATATGCAAGAACATAAAGGCTTTTGTGAAAGCAAGCCACCAGCACAGAATTGTAGTTCATGGTCTCAGGTCTCAGATCAAGCAGGTCCCCCTTTCCTGTACTCTGGAGATTCATAGAGAGGATACCCATTTCTTCAGCAATTAGCAAAATTTGAGAAAAGCTCCAAATTTTGATATTGAGTTGAAGCAGTAGATTCTTAGGATAAAAGTAGAGACCATTCTAATCATGTCATATGGATAGAGAGCACCATGCCAACTGGGAAGGAGATGGACTGAAAACGTGGAAAGGTGTGGTTTAGCTTCAGACTGCTGGAAAGTAGAACTTATTAGCTATAAGAATTGATTGGTTTATACTTTGTTATTCAAGAGAGCACAATAACTTAACATGGGTATGCTGTACTCAAGACTTCTGTGTCTCACTACTGAAGTAGGAGGACAGAAAAATAAATTAGAGAACAACATCCCTGTGTAACAACATCAGAAGAGGCAGCTAGTCAGCAGTGAACACTGCAAATAAGAGCCTACCTAACCTAAGTAAAGGGAGGCCTTTCTTGTTCTAACTTGGCTCGCTAGAATTCTGCAGTAGGATTGGGAGTCAAGGCCCAGGCAGTAACTGCATCACTTAACCCTGCTTTGTTCTCTGGGGACATATTTACCTAAGGAAGTTCAGGGATTGGTGACTTGTTGAAGGTAGAATATGGTCTTTGCATCTCATCTTCTAACTTCATATATTTATTAAAAAATATAAGCACCTTATTTTGATGTAACATATAGGCAGAAACAGTGAGATACTATAGAAACATTAACAAGAATGTGTAAAATATTTAATGACATGGGAAAACAATACATTGCAAAATAAAAAAATCTAGTTATTAAACAAAGTTAATAAGTATAGATGATCATATTTTTAAACCTTTATATATATATAGTCTTTATATATAGTCTCTCAAATATATATATATATATATATATAGAGAGAGAGAGAGAGAGAGAGAGAGAAAGAGAGAGAGACAGAGAAAGAGAGAGAGAGAGGAAAGATATATAGTAGAATAAGTCAGTCATTAAAATAATGTTTACACAGCCAGCATGGCACACGCCTAGGGTCCCAGCTACTTGGGAGTGTAAGGTAGAAGGATTTCCTGAGCCCAGGAGGTCGAGACTGCGGTGAGTTGTGATCATGACACTGCATTTCATTCTGGGAAACAGAGGGAGACCCCAACTCAAAAAACAAAATACACACACACACACACACACACACACACACACACACACACACACACACACCTATGTTTCCTGAAAAAAAATAACACCACAAGGGAACAGCTTATAATGTAATGTTAAATGAAAAGTGGTAGATATAATATTATGTAAGTAGTGATTGAGTACAGGGTGATTTTGACTTTGTTGGATGTGGGTGAAGAGGAAATGAGAAGGGAACAGGAGAACATTAGCAGTAGTTTCCTGAGTGTTGGAATTATTAGTGATGGAGTTTGGTGAGAGAGTTATAATATAAATGCTTCTTAAATATGTGTAACTCTTCAAAAGTGATGCTTCAGAATAAGCAAACTGTTAAATATTTTAAGAATTTGCATAGCTCTGGAGGGAAGGAATGAATCTGAAGGGCTACATCAGTAAGAAGAGGAAGACTTGGTCTTTGTCCTCCAGCAGTCTGAATGGTGATCAGCAGGTAATTAACACAGAAGAATAGATTTCAACTCAGTTTTAAAAAGAGTTTTTCAACAATTAATGCTGCCTCACAATGGAATAGTTTCCATCAAAATGTTGAGTGCTGAAAATGATTAAGCAGAGGCTGGGGACTTCTTGCCCTAGAAGTAGGAGGGGGTAGGGGAGGACGACAAGGGAAGAGTGGGATAGGTGGTCTCTCGCATCATTCTTACTGCTAACATTCTTTCTCTGTATCATTCATTCACTAATTCATACAGCTTCCAAGATGGCCCCCAATGATCCTTGTTTATGGATACTTGTGCCTTGTATAATTTCTTCCCAGATTGAATGAGCTGATTTATGTATCAGTAGGAAGGATACTGTGGAGAAGATGGTGTATGGCTTCAGAGGCTAGATCATGAAAGACATCATGGCTTCTGCTTTGCTCTCTCTTGAATTGCTTACACTGGAGTAAGCCAGCTTCCGTGTCATGAGGACAATCAAGCAGCCTGTGGAGACCTCCCTCGACCCTTGTGTAGAGAAGAACTGAGGGCTCCTGCCAACGCCCAGCAAAAACTAGCCAGTTATGTGAGTGATTCACCGCAGAAGCAAGACTTCCAGTCTAGACAAGCCTTCAGATGACCACATGCCCTGCCAACATCTTGTCTGTTGTGAGACCCAGCAGAATGAGCCAATTAAGCCACACCTGAATTCCTGGCCACAAAGACTGTGTAGGATTAAATCATTAAATTTGGGGGTAATTTTTTATGTTGCATTAGATAACAATACAATGCATTTTTACCTGATTCGTTCCACAACAGATTTGAAGTAATATTCTGTGATTGAGTCATTTCAGCTGAACTACTGACAAGCTTTTCTTAATTAGGCAAAATCCCCAGCTGTTACTGATGCATAATAATAGCCTCTCCACTTAAATAGTAGTTTAACTCACTGCAGTTTGATGTCTTAACATGTTCCAATAACAACAATGTCATCTTGGCTGCAAAGTGATATATCTTATTTTTTTTAATAGAAAAGAATATTGTGCTTTTTTATTCTCGTATAGATTTGGTCTCTAGGAATAGCTGTAGCTATAACTGCGACACTTACTGTACATTTCTCAGCTTTCACTTGCCAATTTGCTCAGAAAAAAGGTATGCTACAAATTGCAGCAATAGAGCATTTACAAAAGGTAATTTTTGGCATTTCGGCACCAAAAAGGAAAACTTATCTGCCCAAACAAGCCAAAAGTAAAGACAAAGACTTTGGAAGTTGTTCTTACAAGCAGGTGACTATATCCTCTCCTTCACATTAAAAATATTTTCTAACATCTGAAAGTTATGAGATATTCTGGGTAAGCCTGATTATCAAAGAATATCACAAATAGCGTTGGATAGGTTGTATCATCTGTGACAGAGTCAAAGAGATCTGTGGGATTATGAGGATTCTTTGGTGGAGGGGTGACTAATCCTGCATATCCTTGCGTGTAGTTTCCAGTAAGTACGCGCACAACATACATGTGCTTTCTCCCATTGCTGTCTGGCTTGGAGTATGTATCATTGGCAGAATAACTGGCATCAGTAGCAAAATAGGTTCCTTTTCCGTAGGCTACAGCTGTAAAAAGAAAGACAAAAGCCTTCCTAAGAATATTAAATTACACAGGATGTAAAACTATGCCCAGTCTGGCTTTTTTTAAATGCAGTTCCTGCCTACCACAGCCACTTTTAGTCAATTATAAAATTCACTCCAACTTTCCTCCAAAGGTCGCCTGTTTTCTTTAAGGTGAAACACAGCAAGCTCTATCCTGATGATGACAATATGGCTACCATCCGTGGGTCTCCACGGTGTGGGTGTGAACAGTTGACACCAGAACTCTCATTTATCTCATTCTGATTAGCCAGATGACTCGCTTCCTTACCATTCCTCCCAGCATAACTGCGATTAAAGCCATGCTGATTGACATGTGGCACTGAGCCTGCATCTGTCCCATGGAAGAGGATTCTCTCATTATTTGTATGGCCATTCTTGATGTCCATGTGCTTTTTCTTTATCTGGTAGCTCTGCCAGAGAAATGCATTCTGTATCCTCTCAATCTGTAGATGACGAAAAGGAAAACACTTCAGAAATGACCTTAGAGTTCAGTTTATTGTATTTGTGGATTTAAAATAAGCAACACAGAAAAGAAGGAGAAGGAGAAGGTGTGGGAGAAGAAAAAGGTGGAATAAAATGCAAATAGACAGTTTTCTGCCTTTAAAAAAAGATAGGCTAAAAACATCTGTTAGTATCATACTTTGTAATAGTGCTTACTGGCATCTATTTTACATAACGAAGCTTATAGTTTATGTGAAAATGTTTACCTATATGTATTTCCTGCATTTCCTGAAGATTCACTGATCCAATAGCCATTTCCTTAACTCTGTCTCATCTTCAAATCCATTCCATGTGTCTTCTCCCCATAACAATTCTTTCTGTTATTATTTAGTTATAGTTACAAATTACCTCGTAATTGCCTAATCTGATGACAATTTCTTTCTAGACCCCTCAATAGCATTTCCAGTCATGAACCATCCCCTCCTTGATACTTTGTCCTTCCTTAACTTATTTTCAAACTATTACTCTCTCCTGGCTCTCTGTCCTTCTAGGAAATGAAGTTAACATCCACTCAATAATCATTTACTGAACATCTGCTATGAATCAAGTACTGTGTTGAGTCTGTCCTCAGGAAAAAAGTTCAGTCTAATGGGCAGAAATACAAAAAAACTACCCCTTAGAATGATAAGGAATGGGCTAGGAGGACACACACGCAGCTATGAAAGCATAAGAAAGGGTTCCAGGCCGGGCATGGTGGCTCAAGCCTGTAATCCCAGCACTTTGGGAGGCAGAGGTTAGAGGATTGCCTGGAATCAGGGGTTCAAGACCACCCTGGGCAACTTGGCAAGACCTTGTCTCCACAATAAATAAAAAAAATTAGCCGGAAGTGGTAGCATGTGCCTATAGTTCCAGCTACTTGGAAAGCTGAGGCGGAAGGATCACCTGAGCCCAGCAGGTAGAGGCTGCGGTGGCTGTGAGCGTGCCACTGCACTCCAGCCGGCGACAAAATAAGACTCCAACCAAAAAAAAAAAAAAAAAGAAAGAAAGGGTTCCAGATAATCTATGTCTGGGGAGGTGGGAGGAAATCTGAGAAAATGATGTCCTGGAAACAGAAAGAAGAGAGATTACAGAAGCATGGAGTGGATACCAGGCAGCTGTTGAGGAAAGCCTGGTATTAAGAGCAGGGGGAAAGTTGTTTTTCCGAGAGTGACACGGACCTCACATGGAGTTATGAAGGTTTGGAATGAGGAGAGTGGGAATGAGTTGACTGGAGGAAGCAGTGAAGGATTTCGGGCAGCCAGCAGGGTCCAGCTGAGGCTGGAAACCATGAGTTAGTAAGAATTTCATCTAGGAGCAGCAGGAAAGAAGGTAGGTTACAGGATTAATCCAAAGTTGGGGGTTTTCAAAATGGTGTGATAGAATGCTAAGAGCCAAGAAAGTTACAGATATTGGGTAAACACAATTGAAGTGAGGCTCTTGCTCTTCTTGTGCAGTTGTGCCTCAATATCCAGATGCTCTCCACACCAAAATCTGAGGATGTTCAAGTCCCTTATAGAAAGTGGCATACTTCTGCATTTGTATAAAACTGATGCAACCCTCCTGTATACGAGAGCTCTAGATTACTTATAACACCTAATGCTATGTAAATAGTTGTTATACTGTTTTAGAGGATGACAAGAAGAGAAAGTCTGTACATGTTTGGTACAACACAACCATTATAAACCTCACTATGCTTTCGATCCATGGTTGGTTGAAACCCATAGATATGGAGGGCCAACTGTACTTTTTTTTTTTTTTTTTTTTTTGTGAGAGTCTCACTCTGTTGCCCAGGCTGGAGTGCAGTGGCACACTCACGGCCACCATAGCCTCGACCTGCTGGGCTCAGATGATCCTTCTGCCTCAGCCTTCCAAGTAGTTGGAATTACAGACACTCGCCACCACACAGGCTACTTTTTGATTTATTGTAGAGTCGAGGTCTTGTCAAGTTGCCCAGGCTGGTCTTGAAACCCTGGACTCAGGCGATCCTCTCACCTTCACCTTGCAAAGTGCTGGGATTACAGGTGTGAGCCATCACGCCTGGCCCAACTGTACTCTTGATAGCTTTTAACACCATGATGCATATTGTCCTTTATTATTTATTTATTTATTTGTTTATTTGAGACAGAGTCTTGCTTTGTTGCCTAGGCTGGAGTGAAATGGTATGATCATAGCTCACTGAAGCCTCAAACTCTTGGGCTCAAGTAATCCTACCACCTTAACCTCTCTAGTGGCTGGGCCCGGCTAATTTTTTAATTGTTTTGTACAGACAGTCTCACTATGTTGCTCAGGCTGGTCTTGAATTCTTGGCCTCAAGCTCTCCTTCCACCTTGGCTTCTTGATGCGAGCTCTCATGCCTGGCCTCCTCCTTTAAATCGTCCTTTATATAGAATGTCTCTCTCTTCTGGTTCTCCTTTCTCAGGAATTAAGTTCATTCATTCAGTTAAATTTATTTAATTCATACTGTGCCCTACTACATACTAGAGAGTGTGCTAGGTACTGAGATTGCAGAGATGAACACTATGTGACTCCTGCCTTAAGAAGCTCACTATTTGTTAGGGGAGCCAGGCAACAGGCTGTACAGGTTACCAATGTACAATTTTATAAGTGCTATAATGTAAGTACATAGTTCTATAGAAGAAGCAACTAGATTTTAAATTACTAGGATGCCACATCCTGCTCTGATATACATGGTATGATAATGACCTCCTGATAAACACCTATACTTTACTAATATTTTTATGTAGCATAGTGGACATTGTGGCAATCTCCTGAACATCCATCCCACCCCATCAGCAACTTCTGATTTGAGTGGCATTGGCCCCACTTATGGTTCCAGGGTGGAGCCAAGTTGGGTTAAACCAATCAGGATCTCAGTATGGATCCCACAGTGATGGAATCTGACAGCCCAGACCCAAGACAATCAGCACATGGTATCCCCTAGATACAGAGAGTGGTCCATCCAAAAAAAATCTTGGGATTCTTGTTCAGTAGTTGTGGGAAGGACAGAGTTGTCTTCTGTGAGGAAGAAGAGAGCTCCTGATTGCTGCCAGCAGCCATCCTACAACCACAAGGAAAGTCCAGCCTGAAGATGAAGTTGACATTGTGGACAGCAAAGACAGAGAAGCTAGATCCAGGACATCAAACCATTGGATTAAACTGCTCCAAAGCCCATCCTACTTCTGGACTTTCCACCAATTTCCAATCCAGTTCTCCTTGTTGAATCAGTTTGAGTGGGTGTATGTTTGTGACTTGCAACTAAAAGTATCCTAATCTATACCTGTGACTTTTGTGAAACTCCCTCCTTACTGCTAATGAATGAATCTTGAAATTTGAAGCCTATGGAGCTCGAGTGAGTCCAACTCCAGTTAAACATAGTAAAGTACAAAGTAAGAATGAGTGCTTGAAAGCGAGATGGCTTTCATGTTAGTTTTTTAACATTTTAAAGCAGTAAATTTTTAACACAGTATTACCTTCTCTATTGTATAGGAAGAACAAGTCTGAGTGAACTTATCCTTTACGGTGTTATATTCTGATTGTCCCGGTTGTAGTTGGGTCACACAAGACAGTTGATGATTTATATCCATCCAATGTTCAGGAGTGTTATCTGGAAAGTCAGCATTGGGTGAAAACCTGATAGCCATTTCCAGGGACCTCTGAAAATCAGGGCACCACCCACATTCTTGTTTTCAGTCATCTAATCCTGGTCTTTAAAGTACAAGCTACACATTTCACAATTGCTTCTTTTATTATCCTCAATTGAGTAAACAGAGATGAAGTGAACAGTCTGACATCAATATGATACATAATATATTAGTCACTGCTCTGGCTAAAATAGTTAGATAAACTGAGATTCAATGTAGCTTGAAATTATAATTTTCCCAGAAGGTTATGTGGAATTAATTCTGTAAGAAACTGATATGTAAACATGAATGTCAAATTTACTAATGCTTTCACTATTATCAGCTTTATTTCAATGGTTCTTTATTATTTTTCTTTTAAAACATGATTACCCTGCTAAAGATATGTAAAGCACATTGTTCTGTGCCCCATCTTTTATACAAGTAGAGAAAATAGGGGAAAAAATATATATATATAAGGAAAATAGCAGAGGTACTTAAAAGAATGCTTTCACCCAAGATGATCATGACCAAAGTTCTCCTTTGCTTTTCAGTTGCTTCTAGGAACTTCTAAAACATTGAAACTAGATATTAACTTGCTGACCAGTGTAAATATGAACAGATTGCATTAGAGTAGAAAACAACACAAAACGGCAAAACAGGCTGGGCATGGTGGGTCACGCCTATAATCCCAGCACTTTGGGAGGCTGAGACAAGAGGATTGCTTGAGCCCAGGAGTTCAAGACCAGCCTGGACAACATAGCGAGACCTCATCTTGACAAAAAAAATTAAAAACTTACCTGGGTGAGGAGACGTATGCCTGTAGTCCCAGATACTTGGGAGGTTGAACCTAGCGGGACGAAGCTGTGGTAACTGTGATTGTGCCACTGCATTCTGGTCTGGGTGACAGAATGAGATTCCAACTCAAAATAAATATATACATTCATACATACATACATACATAGGACTAAAGTATAAAGCCAAAGATGTTTTCTTGAGAGGAAAGATATTTAAATCATATCCTTAAGCCATACCAAACTGTTACCGCCTCTGCCCATGTGCATCCCTAGATACTACAGTGGGGACATATGATCTGTAACTGCACACTCTTCTTTTCCCTTCTTCTGGTAAAACCATTCTGAATTTCCTTTGGCGGACAACTGTGCCCATATCTTCAAACGGTGATTGATCCCCTCTAGTTCCAGTGTGCAGCACGTGACTCTGACGGCCCAGTCAGTGTAATTCTAGCTTCCTGCCTGCAATGGTGACCTACGCTGCTCCAATCAGAAGGAATCTGAGGGTTTAAAATAGAGCTCTGTTCCCTGGCATCATGTTCCTGATGACAAGTGTATAATTCCACAGGACAGTCTCTTTCCTAGTGAACTTGACCATGGAAGGCTGCGGGCCTGAAGCTGCTAGCAGCCACCTTTTACTATATGAAGCCTAAGGGAAAAGACAACACAACTGAGAAGAGACTGCGAGATGAAAAGTCACAGTCTAGATGGATCAAACTATATCTGAAGCCAGAAATGCCTGGAGCTTATAGCAACGCGAGTTCATGAATTCCATTTTTGGCTTAAGTCAGTTTAAATTGGGTTTTTTATTACTTGTTCCTTCAAGAGCCTTACCAGTTCCAACTATTATTTTCATTTTTAGTGTGTGTGTAGCTCTTATAGGAACTGCAGGTTGTGGCACGTTGAGGAGAATAGCTGTCAGGAAATAAATGTAGAGAGAACTGAAATTTCTATTGACAACTCTCCATTCTGGGAGGCTGCTGATGGCATGTCTGCCTCATCTGCCTAGCAAAACTCACAGTGCTTTTAGGGTGAGTGTCCAAAACGAGCGAAAACTGACTGCAAGAGGAGGCTGCAATTCTAGTTATTTGAACAGCAGTGCAGAAGCCACCCCATGAGGGAGAGGCTAGATCAGAGGCATAGGTTGACACGGATGCTCAAACACAGAGCAGAGACACACCTTACAGAGCAGCGACTGGCATCTATCTGCCTGCTTGTGACGTAGTACAACCAAATGACTGGTTGCCCCTTCTTGCATCTGCTTTTGTTCCCAGGCTAACTTGTCCACAAGCTGATGGTCAATAAGGCAGTGTCGACCAGCTAGTTCATAGCTACAAGGCATACTAAGGATCAATCTCAATCCATAAGTCAATAATGAGACCATCGACTAGAATTTGCAAAGCCTGCTTCCCTCTTTCCATTTCCTCACTTCTATTCTGTTTCTATTTATTTGCTATTCTTGTTTCCCAGGTATGATTTTTGCCTCTCAGAAAAATAACCAGTTGACGAGAAGTTGTGTCCCGTGTCCCTGTCCACGTCTCATAAGAAGTCGACTGCAAAGTTCTAAAATTGATAGAAAATAGCAAGCCCAGTGAGCATTCACATGTAAACATTTTCTGTGATATCAGCTACAAACCATGTGATTTTTAAAAATGAACATCTTACCTGCAGTTGTGGAGAACGCAGGCTGAGAGGTAGGTGACGCAGAGTTGCCCCTTTTTTTCATGCTGTCATAGAATACATTTAGCAGCTCAGATAGAAAGATGACAACTTTAACCGTTTTTAATGACGGGGTAGAATGTTGCCATGAGAAGTCTACAATAGCATCGATCATGTCATCAGCAACTGCGATTGGGTTTTTTCTGGCACTTCCTGAAAAAAAAATTTTTTTTAAGTAACATAAAGAAGTTTCAGCTGGTGTTGGTATTATGATGAGATTTGGCAGATGCAGTTCTTGGGGCTGAGAAACAGGAAAGCCCCTGACAGCCAGGAACCCACCTGGCACTCACAGCTAGGTCTTGGTGTTCTGAACACAAACAATTTAATGGAACATCATCAGTGTAACCACTCTGTGACCAAGATGAATTAAGACTAAAATAAGACCACTCCATAATCACGTCTGATTTTAGACAAAAACATGAACACCAACCAAACCACAAAAATAGCCAATCATCCCCTATCCTGACTCATAGGAGCAACTGCTGCTTTACTTCTAATCACAGGTTTAGCCACACGTGGTTCTTCCCTCCTTCTAGATAAAATATTCAACTATAGATTTATATCTGCTTCCTGAAGTTTCTGATCCAGAGAGAAGCCCCACTTACTTGAGACTGCCACAAAATCAACAAACACAAGCCCAAATCCACTCATAAGTCCTTCCCAACACCCTCTTATTAAGACGCTGAGAAGTTCCCCATAGTATGTGTTCCTGGTGGTCTGTAGCTGAAAAGCATTGGCAGTGCACAGAAAAGAATATGAGATTTGGGTGCAGAAGATTTGGGTTTGTGTCCTGGCTCTGCTACATATTAGCTGTGCCATCTTAGCCAAGTCATTTGATCCCTCCTGTATTAGTTTGCTAGGGCTGCTGTACAAAGTACCATGGACTACGGCTTAAGCAACAAAAATTCATTTTCTCATGATTCTGGAGGTTAGAAGACTGAGGTCATGGCAGGGTTGGTTTCTCTGAAGACTCTCTCCTTGGCTTGTAGGTGGCTGTCCTCTGGGACTTTGCACTTAACTCTCCTTCTCCAATGTCTGTGAGCGTTTGTGGGTCTTTTGCCGACTTCTCTGCCCTTTCCCCTCCACGATCTACCTATGGGCACTTTTCCCTGTTCTGTCTCAGCCCTCTTCTCTCTTTCTCCACGCAGTCCCTTGACAAGCTCATTCCACCTACCCAGTTGCAACTCTTTCCACTACATGGCTGATCACCACCCCTACGCCTGCGGCCTCCACTTTGGGTGTCATTCTTCATTACCACGCCTTGCATTGTTCCTAAACTATGCACTTGTGGAGGGGCTTGGGTTTACTCCACTCTGCCTCTCCAGTGCCAAGTAGCAGAGTGCTTGCTCTGAGTGAGGGAACAAAACAAGCAGGGCTTGTGAGGGCTGTAATTTGACAGATGGTGTGGGAGAGGATCCAGATGGGGAGAATAAAACATGAACAAAGTAGGACAAAAGGTTATAGGTGGTCATGAGTGCAGGAAGAATGCGCTGCAAGCATTGGATGAATGTCCTGAGGCTCATACAAGAAGGGCCTGGGATACCAGCATCCAGTTTTAATCTGGGAAGCAGAAGGAAGTCTACACCTTTGAGCTAGGATGATGATGGTGACTCTCAGGCCAGGAATTTAATTGCTAAAAGAACCTGTCAGAGTACTGATAACTTTCAGACTACTGCCCAGCCCCTGACTTCCCAAATGAGAGAAGCCCTCACTTCCGTAAGAGGGTCAGGTCACATGGGTGTGAATGAATCAGGAAATGGACCGGCAGCAGCATCTTCAATAAAAGCAAACTATTGGATGATATGATAGAGATGGGTAGGAAATGTTCCTAGAAACTATGAGCAGCCTCCACCTGAGCTGGTTGCTGAAGGGTAGTGTGGGGTCTTGTCTGGACATGGACTGTGTCGCCCTATACCTGGCTTCTCCCTGCTCCCTCCCTTAGGCAGCGGTCTCTAGCCAAGGCTGGTCTCTGAAGGGTATGCCTATGCCTAGTCATGATTCATGGGATACAGGTGGCTGAGGAAACCTGAAAACAGTGTAATCATCACGTTTTTTGTTTTTTTGTTTTTTGTCAGTCTTACTCTGTCGCCCAGGCTGGAGTGCAGTAGCACACTCACAGCCACTGTAGCCTCTACCTGCTGGGCTCAGGCGATCCTTCTGCCTCAGCCTTCCAAGTAGCTGAAACCACAGACATGTGCCACCATGCCCAGCTGATTTTTTGATTTATTGCAGAGATGAGGTCCCACCATGTTGCACAGTCTAGTCTCGAACCCTTGGGCTCAGACAATCCTCTAGCCTCCACCGCCCAAAATGCTGGAATTACAGGCATGAGTCACCGCACCTGGCCTAATCATCATGCTTAATCTATGTGATTGTACACACCGTATAGGAATCTGAATGATTATAAAACTGCTTGCAATACTGCCCCAAGATATGGATTCTCCACCAACCTGCCGCCATCGGTGCCTCTAGTAAGTTTCAATAAACCAATGTCTTTTCCGGCTAGACCTCCGGGTGACTTTTTTGGAATGGGTAAACATGACGAGCAAGCCCTCTCAGATTTGGGGTTACCACATTACAGGTACTGACTGCATTTTATTTGTGATTTTATCCTCAGTGCTGTGCACAGGGCCTGGGTAATAGCATTTCAATTTAATGAATGCGCGAATGAGAAGCCAGCTGGGAGACGCTTCGGTAAACCAGATAGGGGAGGCATTGATGGTTTCAAAACTAAAAGGTGGGCTGACATCAATCCCTCTCGAAGAAGATTTAGCAGGACTTGCTGACTGTCAGGATCTGGGGACACAAAGAAGCAAGAATGGCAGACCACGGCAGCTGGGAACATCGTGGCACTACCGATGGAAGAAACTAGAAAACCAGAGAGCTCAAGAGGAGTGTCTGTTTGTAAGGGGAAATGATGAGTTTGGACTCTGATGACATGGAGTTTCTGGTAACAGAGAATTTTCCCAAAGGAGATTCTAGAGAGGGGAGAAGTGCTGATTTGGAAGTCAGTGCAGACGAGGTGATGGATACAATGAGAGCAGGTGAACTCCCAAAGGAAAAAGCAAAGAGTGAGACATCCATGAAGTTAAGGACAAAACTTGGAAAGAAACGTAGGGAACACAAAATGCAGAAGCAAGATGGAGGAAAGAGGCTAGGATCCCATAGCAGATTGTGCCCTGGGGATCTAAAAGGTTGCCCCCTCTCTGATTTACATCACAATTGCCGCCTTCAGATGGATTAAGGATTGATTTCATTCGGATCACTTCATTTTAGAGTGCGGAGAGGCTGCAAACCTGTTCTGATGACTGGAAGGGCAACTGACGTGTACTGCCTCTGTTCACACTCTTCCAGAACCCTGAAGACCGTTTTCCTGACATGGCTTTCCCCAGCAACATGAATTATTATTTTGCACATTAAGTGTCCACCTTGTGTAACTATAAAATCTGTGTGAGGCCGTGCAGCTGAAAAAAAGAAAAGAAAAACAAACACACAGCTCATTAGTTACTGGAGGCAACATTTTGATGACTGAGAAATGAAAATAGCTGACACCTGTTTTCCGTGAAAGCCCAGCCTCTCCCGGGCCCACTGGTTTCATTTACTGGGACTGTGACAGGCCTATTTCCTTTACAGTCTGAATTATTGCACTCAACAAATTCATTACTGAATATTTTGGGTGCTGTTCAAAAGCACTTTATCTGTGATAATCTGCTCAATCCTCAAAACAAGCCTATGAGGAAGGTACTGTTTCCTCCATTTCACAGATTAAACAGAGCCACAGAGAGCTAAGGTCAATAGCCCAAGGTTACCCAGGACTTTGAACCCAAGCCCCAGGACTTTGAACCTAAGCACACAGGAACTCGACTGCCTCAGTAGAGCACATTCAGCCAGATTAATTTTTCAAGGAGGTAAAAGCAATGTACTTTGTGGTGCAGAGGTATGGAAGGATGAGAAACTTCCCCTATCAGGACCTTAAGAGCTCTTGAACACATGGAAACTACCAGGGCCGTTTTAAGTCACTGCCCCCCCACCTCCTTCAGACTGCTCTGAGTAAGGCTGGGTCCAGCAAAAGGGAGAAGCAGGAGAGTGGATCCCTGCTCACCCCATGCTACCCTCCTTGGGAGCACCTGTGCCCAGGCACCCCCAGAGGTCCCTAAGGTGACCCTTCTGCTCGCCTCTTCCCAGAAGCCTCCCTAGGCTTTTCCAGTTTGTCCAACCCAAGTTTCATCCTTTGCTTCTGCCTTCCAGGGCACAGCTGGCTCTTACAAATCCCTGCTCATGTCCTTGTGTTAGTGATCAAGTATTACCTTCCTTTCTCACTCCAGAAAGTTATTCATTCCAGAAAAAGTGTCTTAATCAGAGGAGAGCTAGTAAGATAGGAGTTATAGTTGGGTGCAGTGGCTCACACCTATAACCCCAGCACTTTGGGAGGCAGAGGCTAGAGGACTGTTTGAGCCCATAATTTGAGATCAGCCTGGGCAACATAGTGAGTCTTCGTTTCTATTAAAAATAAAAATTAAAAAATTAGTCAGGCATGGTGGTGCATGCCTGTGGTTTCAGCTAGTTAGGAGGCTGAGGTGGGAGGTTCACCCAGGAGTTCAAGGCTGTGGGGAGCTATGATTGTGCCACTACACTGTAGCCTGGGCAACAGAGTGAGGCCCCAACTCAAAAAAAAAAAAAAAAAAAAAGGGAGTTTCAGGCACAGTAGCAGGTCAGTTATGGGAATATATTGTCAAAAATGGTGCTCACTCGTAGCTGACTGTCTACTTTGCAAGGGATGTTTTGAAGGGCAAATAATTTAATCCCTCCTCTAGATTCCCCACTCAGCCTTCAACTCATTCATAAAGAAGTTAGAAGTCAGCTACCTGGAGGTGTGCTATAAAAAGTAGGACAAAACTGGGGAAAGTGAAAGATATTTGTACAACACTTTACGGTTTACAAACTTTTTACATGTATTGTTCTTTCTGGTCCTCACAACCACCTGTGGGATAGCTGTCCCATCCTCCTTATTAGCAGAACCTTCTTACAGATGAGAGAAGCAAAGGTTCTCAGAGATGAGATGATACGCCTAGGATGGCCCAGTAAAATGGTGGAGCCTGGATTATTAGGACCCAGACTTGGGTTCTTTTTAATACTCAGGAAGAAAGAGACAGATGAGGTCGTGAGATAAAGAGCCTCTCTCCCATCACCTATGCCTGCTCTCCTAGGGAGCCAACTTCTGCCAGAATACTCGTCACTTATCTACCCCACCCGCCCCAGGTCCTCTCATGGTATTCTCAGCCCTCTAATTTTCTGTTGTTTGTAGCCACAGGTAACATGTGACCCTACCTCGTGCAGCACATTCATTTTCCACAGCGGGCCCAGCACCTTCCAAAATTGCTTTTGACACACCTAAGTAAGACATGATCATGGCACCAAAACATCAGTTAAAATTCAATAAGTGGATACAGCTTTTGTGCATTAGACCTTTGTTCAACTCACCCTTTTGTGTGCAAGCCCTTGCTCCCACCCCCGCCCCCGCAAACCGTCTTTCTATAGCAACCTTCCTCAATGGCCAACGAATGAACAATCTGACTCACAGCATGACGGCAGCGTCCAGTAACTGGAAGTCTAGCATCAGCAGCTTTCCCTTCTCTTTTTGTGCGGGGATATTTTTGTACTATTTGAAATGGTATGCATTCTACCCTTATTATTTAATAAAATGAATGAAAAATATGAAAAGAAATGTTTCAAGACTAATGAGAAGCATAGATTTCAAACTGTAATAGAATGGTGCATTTACTTCAGTTCTTTGGCTCCTCACCCCACACCTCCACCCCCAATTAGACAGTTGACTGATTTCAGTCCACTGAATCTTCCAATCAAAGTTGTAGCTTCAACACTTTGGTCGAGTCTAATGACAGCTGGGTTGAGTGATTAAAAACATGGGCTTAGCATTTTGATAAATTGGGTTGGACTTGACTGCACCACTTACTAGCTGTTATGTGATTAATAGGTTTCACATCTGTCACACAGAGGCTAATATAGTACTTCCTTCATGGGGTATTCACACATCAAAAGAGATAATGAATGAAAAACGCCTAGCACAGAACCTGGCACACAGAAAACACTGAATAAATGCTAGCTATTTTATCATTATGAAGAGATATAGATCTATATCTATATATCCTTGATTAGTGCATGTTGTGGATTGCCTTTTTTTAAATTTCCTTTTTTCAGTGTGTTTGTTCTAGTCCCTGTTGTTCCATGATAGACACTTTCTTCAAATGTCAAGTGACCTTCACCAGTCAATTCATATTCAAGAGTGAGTTTAGAAGCTTTGTGTGAGAAGCCTTTTTGACCAGTGGGCTTCAGGATCAGCTGAGCAGGCAAGACTTACTCTCTGCTATTTTGGGTACCATGCAGGAAGAGGGGCTGAGTTCTCACTGTTTGCTACAGAGATGTTCTCTTAAAGCACCGCTTTCAGTCTAGCTTCTCATCTCACCTGTGCCTGGTGCCCTGCGTCCAGAATCTCTCTGGTGCCATTTTTCTAGAGTATAAACCTCCCGTCTCTGGCCAGGGCAGAGCAAGGAAATTTATTGCTGCATAGGATGGGGGATAGAACCAAGAGGTCTAATTGCTACTCATATGGGATTTCATCCAATTCATCTCTTTATTTGTCCTCTGTCTTTACAGATACCTGCTGACTTTAATTCCTGCAGGAGTTGGCTGCTCTCTCCTGCTATCTCTCCTGCAGGCACTGTTTTTTCCACTCCATGTTAGCTGCCACTTCTGGCTAGCAGCTTCTACCTTCTAAAAATATGTTATCTGTTGTTCATAGGTGTTTTCCTTCCAATGCGCTTTTTCCTTGTAGGTTTATACCCTTTCCATTCCTTTACTGTTGTTTTGATAGAATTCCAAAAGGGGACAGGGCGCAGAGACAAATGCTTATATCCAGTTTACCATGTTTCATATAATGGATTGTTCTTTGTTATTTATTTGTTTGTTTGTTGGTTGGTTTGTTTATTGAGTTGGAGTCTCACTCTGTCGCCCAGGCTGGAGTGCAGCAGCACGCTCAACCTTCTAAGTAGCTGGAACCACAGGCAGGTACCACAATGCCCAGCTGATTTTTTTATTTATTGTAGAGACGAGACTGGTCTCAAACCCCTGAACTCAGGCAATCCTCTCACCTCCGCTTCCCAAAGTGCTGGGATTACAGGCGTGAGCCACGGCACTTGGCTAGATTGTTCTTTATGTCTACATTGTTCTTTGTGTTACATTTCAAATGACTGAAAATTATTTATTTATTTATTTAGGTATTTGTTTATTTATTTATTTGGGGTGGAGTCTGACTCTGTCACCCAGTCTGGAGTGCTGTGGAGCGGTCATGGCTCTCTGCAGCCTCAAACTCATAAGCTGAAGTGATCCTCCAACCTCAATCTCCCAAGTATCTACAAACACAAGTCCCCATGCCTGGCTAATTTTCCTAAAAATTTTTTTTGTAGAGATGAAGTCTCGCTATGTTGCCCAGGGTAGTCTTGAGCTCCTGGCCTCAAGCAATTCTCCTGCCTCAGCCTCCAAAGTGCTGGGATTATAGACGTGAGCCACCACACCCGGCCTAAATGACTGGAAAATTGAATGATCAATAAATTAAATGGAAATTCTACAGATTCACTTCTGCATAGTAAGCTCCATAATATTTTGCAATTTAGAAAATATTTAAACTTCTATTTCTATTTATATTTTATCTTACCCTTTAAATCTAAAAGTCAATGTTTCATAATTTACAAAATATATTCATATAAGAGTATATGTATATATATTTTATAAATGAATAGACATACATGGGTGGAGAGGGGCATGCTCAAAAGTGTTACTGCAATGGGAGTGGACAAGCGTTTCAGCGAAAGTCAAGAAAAAGAGTCTTGAGTTTCGTTTCTGGGTCAGTTTCACATCTGAGTCGGCATAACAGGAAAGAAGAGCTACAGGGTGTGATATGTGAGTGCCAACTGGGATGCATAAAAGGAGGAACCAAAATAGAGGAACTTAGAGGACCCTAAGTTGTGAGTTTGGAAGTTTGATAGTCCAGAGCTGACTTTAAGTATGACACATTCGTTATACCCCGTCTAATAAGAGATAACCGTACATCAGTTGCACCCTGTCTAATCCTTCTCCTGGAAACAGGCATTTGACAGGTAAAGAAACTGAGGCTCAGAGAGGTTAAGTGACTTGTTCAAGGCCACACGATGATAAGTAGCAGAGCTGGGATTCCCACTCAGGTCTTTCTGAGTCCATGGCTTGAGTATTTTCTACAAAACTCTCTGTCCACTCAGGGCAATTTCACTCCCAGACATTCAGTTATAATAATAGTTACAATATACTGCTTAACCAAAGTACCTGACTTCAGATCAAATGTCCTTGATGTCGAGTTTACAATAACATCTGCCTCTTCTTTGGCGATATCTCCAGTACCAACCTGGAACGTAATCGCACCAATTTTCATTTCATAAGTTTCATACCAAGGATTGGAGACACTCCCGAAGAAACCTGGAAATAAAGAAAACAAATCAAGAATAGGCTGGCTCAGCTCCTGGGGGAAGAACAAACATCTTGGGGCCCTATTCTTTTCCTGGTCCTCTTTCATTTCCCCAACATAAATCCACATATTGTCATGTCTCCTGGACTGTTAAATTGCTCGGTTTTCTTTTTAAAGGAAATTAGAAACTAACACTTTGTGTTCGTAGGAGTGTCTACATTTTCTCAGTTCAATAGGCAGAGGCAGAAACATCTGACTGGACCAGTGTGTGTTGGCAAAAGTTGCCATGGCATTATGAAAAAGGAGTAAGGAAGAAAGGATGAGGGCAAAGTGCATAGTCATTTCTTGCAGACATCTCTGGGAGATTCTTTTGTCACCACTGGGGTAGCAATGATGCTGCTCAGATGATGTTAACACATTGGTGTATTGCTGTTTACTGCACACTCTGAGACCTTACGACTTAACTCATCCCTTCAACTCTTTCAATCTTCCTTTCAGCATTAGACAGTGGCAGTAAAACCACCTGCCCACGGTGCCATTGCACAGGTAAAGTAATATAATATATGTGAAAGCAATCAGTAAAGTGGAGTGTGCCATACACAGTGTAGTTATCATTTCTTAGAAACTCTGGCCTCAATACCAGTGACTTTGTCCATGTTAATACAATTGCTTCTCTGTGTTCCAGACAATGGAACAGGCTAACGCTGCCCCTATCACCAATTTGTTCTTTATGTGAACTAGTTTTGCCTCCTTCTATTGGACTTGAATTAACACCAGAGAGTTGCTAAGCAAAGGGAAATATTCCTCAGCAGAAAGACTTTACCAGACCTTGGGAATCTCCAGCCTTAAGAACCCTGTCCTTGTTAGGATTTGCTCTTGACCGTCTCGAGAATTCATCCAAAAATGCCTGGAAATAGAAACACAGTAACTGACCACAATGATGTTGTATAGCAATATTAATCCAATTCTTTGGGATATTGATCAAATGGTAACAATTCTCAACAGATCTCCTTTTACCTCAGAGACATCTTAAAGGATTGTGGTTCAACCTAGGAATTTTGCAAATAAATAACAGTGCTTTTTTGTGTTTATACTGACTTTTTTGTATGAGTACAACCAACACAGTATCCAGGTAAGTAGGTTGGGGGGGGTCTGACTAAGGGGGAGTTAAGTTTTGTAAGGGCTCCTTTATGAAGCCCTTCTAGCCAACAACTAATTTAGGGACCACAAAGACCTGGACAAACAAAAGGATCTGTTTTTCCATTTTATAAAGACCCACCTTATTCTACTGGCTCTGTAGGAAGTTGCACGCCTTTTTTGTGAACACTGTCAGGTTATCCCTTATCTTTTTTGAACCCCCATAATTCTGATCTCCTAAATCTGATGTGCTGAGGAGAGAGTGTGGAATGTTTGTGGGTTGGTGGTGGAAGGGACTAAGGTAGTCCCTTAGCATCAGTGGTTGGTAGGTGCATTCTGGGGTTGACTAACAACAAATACAGATAGTATATTTCATCTCTGTGTCTAGCCAAAGCCTCCTGAATGAAATCACTAAAATACACATTAGAAACCCTCATAAGTTGACATTTTACTTAGAAATTTTAAAAGCTTTTTGATCATGTAAGTGACCAAACTGAGAATGGGTGACAGAATGGAGTTATAAAGTTGCATTTGGATTGTCTTTATCCATTTTATCTTTCTAGGTCTCATCAGGACTGTTTCTAATCCTTGGTTCACAACATATGAAATGAAAATTGGTGCAATTACTTTCCAGGTTGCTACTGGAAATATCACACACACACACACACACACACACACACACACACACAAAGATAGATATTACTGTGAACTTGACAATAAGGACATTTAGGTATCATGACAATTCTGCTAATAATATTTTCCCCCAGTTTCTCTTTGGGTAAAAAATATGTCTCTGGACATTTTATGTTCACTAGGGGGAAAAAACCCAAGAAACATTTTGGGAGACATGTTATTCCTTTCACTATTATTATTCTTTTTCTCCATCTATGGGCAAATACACTTATGAACTATATCGTGTAATACTTTGAATTGTTTTTGGGGATCTCTGGGAAACATCTCTGAGGATGTTTCACACTTCCATCTCTGAGATGTTTTACACTTCCATCCCAAATGGCTAAGAATAACCAAGAACTTAGAAAGTAAAATTATCTTTGATCTTCTTTTTAAATGCTAATGTTAGTAAGTTGTAGCTAGCCCTTGAAGTCTAATAATAAGGCAATAACTACTACTGCAACCAGTTTTGAGACTTGTTATGTGCTAGACATCACATAAATACTTCAAATACACCCTCTCTTTTAATTCTCACAACTCTGAAAGGTGTCATTGCCATGCTCACTGTATACATGATAAAACTGATTCAGAGAGGTTATGCCGCCCAACTTTTTTTTTTTTTTTTTTTTGAGTTGGAGTCTCACTCTGTCACCCAGACAGGAGTGCAGTGGCCACTCCCGGCTACCGCAGCCTCAACCTGCTGGGCTCCGGCGATCCTTCCATCTCAGCCTTCCAAGTAGCTGGAACTACGCCCGGCTAATTTTTTTTTTTTTTTTTTTTTTTTTTTTTGAGTTGGAGTCTCACTCTGTCGCCCAGACTGGAGTGCAGTGGCTGCTCCCGGCCACCGCAGCCTCGCCTGCTGGGCTCCGGCGATCCTTCCGCCTCAGCCTTCCGAGTAGCCGGAATTACAGGCATGCGCTACCACGCCGA